GGCGCGGAACCGAGGCCAGTCCCGGCTGGGCACTCGGGCGGGCGCACGGGCCGCCGCGGTCGCTCGCTCCGCTCCGGCTCCTGCTGCAGCTCCGGGGAGGACGCGCTGGGCTCGCTCCTCCACGCTCCGTGTTCTCAGTGCGGAGCATCCTCCCCGGTGCTCGGCATCCTCCTCTCAGCGCCCGAGCATCCTGCTCCGAGCGCAGCGTCCTCTTCACTGAGCATCCTCCCTAGTGCTTGCTTGGCATCTTCCTCCGAGCTCAGCAGCGTCCTCCTTCCGCTCCTCAGCGGCACCCGGGCCCGGTCCCCACCCGCTCGCACCCCACCCGCGGGAAGGAGGCCTCGGGAATGCAGGGGAGTGGCTGTGGGGGCGCGTCGCCGCTCGGCCAGCCCCTCTGCCCAAACGCGGGCTGCTCCCCATTGTAGAAGCTGTACCGTGTGACAGGAGGACGGCGTGCTGCTCCCGGCGGGCGCGGGGCTGCGGGGATCTCAGCCAGCCGAAGCCCTGGCATCCTTTTAGGGCTTTTAGGGTGGGGCGGGGAGGGCCCTGGCGTTTGGAGAGTGGACCGGAGCAGGGAAAGGACTCTGTAGGGGACTCGTGAGGGACTATGGGGAAGGACCAGGAGCTGCTGGAAGCTGCTCGCACTGGCAATGTGGCTCTGGTGGAGAAACTCCTATCTGGCAGGAAAGGAGGGATCCTGGGTGGTGGATCCGGACCTCTGCCCCTGTCTAATCTGCTAAGGTAAGAACTGGCACCGTGTGTGTGTGTGTGTGTGTGTGTGTGTGTGTGTGTGTGTGTGTGTGTGTGTGTGTGTGTATACCCTCGTTAGCATTGTGATGGGTACATTCTCTCCTCATTGCACCTGGGGTGTCAGCGATTCATTCTTAAATTAGGCAGGAAAACAAGACCGTGTGTATGTGTGTGTGTGTGGAGAGGAAGAGCCTCCCAGCTAGACTGATGCTTTAGACTCTTTGAGTAATTTTAAAATAGCTTTCCATCAATGCGTCCTCAGCCAGCTACTTTTCTCTGAGCCGTGGTGCAGAACTTGTGCAGGTACTGGTGTTGCTAGAAGAAAATCGGCACGTCCCTTACTGTTTGTATCTGCAGCTGTGGAGCCCACCCCACTATTTACATGAGAAGCTATTGGGTGCACGCGGTTATCCTGCCAAAGCCACAGCCTTCTTGGATTGCTGCTGCGTGTTCGTTGTGAAGGCACTGGCCCTGGGTTGTGATCCCACAAAACAAAGGCAGCGAACCTTCTGAGGTGCCCGTCAGCCAGGGCAGTGTGTAAATCTTGAGGCAGGTTAGGCAGCCTTAGCAAGACTTTCAGTTACCCTGACTTATCTGAGTGAAACTCAGGATGCAGGAAGCCAAAGTCCGGCTTGGGAAAGTGTGTGTGTGTGGAATAGAGTAGAGGCCTTTTAAGACGAACATGTTGCAGGTAAGACGAATATTGCTCAAAGAATCGTTCTAAGGTGACATTTAAAAAAAATGTCGAGGTCTTTATTCAGCAGACGTAAGTTAGATAGCTGGTTCATTTGCATATTTGAGAAACTATTAAAAGTTGAATTGAACAAATGAAATCACTTAGGAGGAAGGAAGCCTGAAGAGCACTCACTAAATGAAATTCAAGGAAACTCTTTAGTTCTCAAGTCCTGGTTATTCACTTTGTCCTGTATATTTTTGGAAGCATCTATCATCATTCATATCTTTACCTTAAAACATCTCTCAGGCAATTCAATGATACAAAATTTTTTTAAAAGCTGAAGTGATTTTCTTGCTTAAAGGTATTTTGTACGACTCTTCATAAAAATAATGAAAAAATGACATTTATTTGGTGTGTGTGTGTGTGTGTGTGTGTGTGTGTGCACAGTGCATGTCATGTAGCCTGTGCAGAAATCAGAGGACACAACTTGTGAGAGTCTCTTCTCTTCCTCTACCATGTGGATTCAAGAACGGATACACAGGTTCTCAGGTTTGAGAGCAAGTACTTTTACCCTCTGAACCAGTGCTTCTCACCCTTCCTAAGGCTGCGACCCATTAACACAGGTCCTCATGTTGTGGTGACCCCCGGCTATAAAGTTATTTTTGTTGCTACTTCATAACTGTAATTTTGCTACTGTTACAACCCATAAGTAAACACCTGTGTTTTCTGATGGTCTTAGGTGACCCCTGTGACAGGGTCATTCAACTCCCAAAGGGGTTGTGACTCAGGTGTCAAGAAATTCTGCTCTGAACCCTTGTGCTGATTTTGATAAGTGTTGGATACAAACTTTTGCATGAAAATGTGTTATATACATAGGTTTTCATAGGCTGTGATCAGACAGTTCAATTAATTACAATACTGGCTATATATTAAAGTGAAATGAACATAATTGAAAAATGGTGGGGTTTAAAGATCCATATACTGTTATGTATACTTGTGGCCGTGGCACTATTGGAATATTTCATTTCAGAACAATTGTTATTTATAGGAGTTTTTTTTCCCTCCCAGTGGGCCTTAGAAAAGATGACTTATTCTGTGTACCCTCCTTCATTTTTAACCACAAGTAGATAATATACATATTTTAGACTAGATTTTTAATATATACCCCTGGATAATTTATCAAAAAGAAGTTCAGTTAGAATTTTACGTTATAAGTGAAATAAGTGTATTTGCAAAGGCACCAGTTCATCAATTATAAAAAATATTCTGGTTGTATGCTAAAACAAGTTCCTCAAAAATTAATATCTCTGGAAAAATAAGAATTTATTACTAATAGGAAATTTAGTTAATTTCGTTGACACAAATTGAGACAAATGGTATTTCTTGAACACTCACTCCTCAGTTGTGTTATTTTTGAAACAAAAATAGATGACACATTTTAAGGATAAAACACCAAGTATTTAATGTTAGTAAACACTTAAGTAGCGAAAGCATGATCCACGGTGTTCAGCTGGAATGAGTTTTCTTTATTAATGGTTTTGTTGGCTGTCCTGGAAAACACATGGAAAACAAGGCACATTCAGGAGAGAAGTTTAAATGAGGTTATAAAAATCACAAATAAAAGCAGCACCTTGCAGTGACTTGCAGTTACCTATCTCACACCGAATTAACAACCAAAACATGCCTTTTAAGAAAACGGAGGCCGGGCGGTGGTGGTGCACGCCTTTAATCCCAGCACTCGGGAGGCAGAGCCAGGCAGATCTCTGTGAGTTCGAGGCCAGCCTGGGCTACCAAG